TTGAACATTAATTTTGATAAATCGAACATCGGGTCTCACTTAGAATTGTGGTCAAAGTTGACCCAATTGACCTACCATTTCCAACAATAATAACCTTCAGCAACCAATTCATTTTTGATTGGTGAAGTCCAACCAATTCATTTTTGATTGGTGAAGTCTACCTTCATGATTTGGGATTTCAATGACCACAATGCATTTCAATGACCACAATGCATTGGTTGGTGAAAATTATATCCTTCAATGACCACTACTTGGTTGTTGATCAATTTATTTTTGATCTCTGGAGCCGTTGGCGCGATAAATCTCATCCTTTTTCATTTGTGATTTGAGATTTTTAGCGACCATAATGAATTGGTTGATGAAAACAATATACTTTAATGAACACTAAGATGGTGTACCTTTGTCGACCAAATATTGTTTCCTAAAAAATGGTAATACTTTCTATTGATCAAAGTTTAGTCACAAAAGGATTCAAATTTGTAAGTGTTATGCTCTACGTCTAATCGATTGAGGTTGTAAATACTTTTAATATGATTAAACCATTTTATATTTTGGCAACATCTATTATTTAATTGAATTTATTTTCTAATTATTAAATTAATATAATTTGAAGATTTACGTATTAGTAACTTGTTAATTACAAAGAGTTGAATGTGAGAGACAAATTAACTACATATAACTGAATCTTGAATTATCAATGGTCGTAAGTAATAACAAGGTGGATATCATTATTACGATTAGATCATCACGTGTGGAATTTCTCACTTTTTGAAGTGAGTAACTGATCTCATAAGATAAAATGTAGTAACATTTAAATGAACACGTAGATGTTTTATTAAATAACAAAATATTGGAGACCCGTCGAAGAGATTTCACATGGATAATTATCCGATTATCAGTTGTTAATTCCTAACGTTCGGTAGTGGAATTAGTCCTTCGACTTGAGGTCATCATAGTATCTTCTATTAGAAGGTCATGTTTTGATGATGTTGGATATTGCTCTACCAAGAATCACTAATAAGACATCGTTCGAGGTATACCAAGAATCTTTTGAAAGTTGTGAACGATTAATAGATGATTCGTCACTCTTATATATAAGAGATTATGATCTACATTTCATTTAATTAAGTTGATATGAAATCATTGACCAAAGAGTACTCATAAGTCGAAAAGAGTTTTCGATTTACATTAACTTAATAGTGAGATAAAAAAATATTTGAGATTGACATACTTCATATCTCGTAATTGATCGGATCATATTGAAGAATGGATTATAATTTCACGATAAACGAACAAGTTTTGTTTATCATACCACGTAACATTTTCCTTCACATATGTTGCCCTAACGCATTGCTAAATGTCAATTTAAGACGATGAAGGTGAATTAATTAATCTAGGTGAATGAATGATAAATTAAAATGGTGTTTTAATTTATTGATTAGATCATAATAATAGTTCACGTCATTAGGTATCGTGATCGGGAACTTAATGGGTCAAACAAAAAAAAATAAAAAAAATAGAAGAATGAAATATACTAATTAAATTAATTAACTGACAAGTGTTGGACAATTAATTAATTGGGTTGCTTATTAATTGATCAAATTAATTAATTAGATTAATTAAACATTGGATTAGATTAAGTTTAAGTGTTGGACCAAAGCCACTTGAATTTCTATTAATAACCTACTAGAGTTTGAGAAATCATATAACACAATTATTATCTTATTTGTACAAGAAAAAAAATCATTATTATCTCATTTTTTATCCATTTATGAATTTTGATTGGAGGTTGGACAATTATATATTGCAGATTAGAATTATTTTTTAAATAATTCATCAAATGTATAATTCTTTATAACAATTTCTCTCTAAGCGCCAAAAAAAAAAATCCTTGGTCGGATTCAAAATATTTATTTAAATTCCGCTATACTTGTAAGTACATTTCCTTCAAAATCAACCAATTTTTTTACTATTATTAGCCACCAAAACAAGACATTTACTACAAATTTTTGGTCATCAGTGTTTTAGATTTAACGACCAATTGTGAGTTGCACGTTGTAGACTTTCACCGACGATGAACTTATCAAGGATCTCATTTTTGTGACGTTCAACAACTTTTTAACAAGGTTCATAATTTTTGTGAATAAGGAGTCAAGTTCTTTTATCACTTTGGTTCCTTAATTCAATAAATTATGGGATCAAGTTTCAAACCGTGATTTTAAATTTTTTGCTGTTGTGATTCAATATTTTGTGAGATTTGAAGCTACTAATGTTACGATGATTCATATCAGTTGGTATTAGAGCTTTAGCTCTAAAATCAAGGTTATGTCTTTATCTTTTCGCATTTGTTTTCATCTTATTCATTGAGTATTCATCTTCTTCATCGAGTTTCCATCGTTTTCTCAACTCTTCATCTTCTTGA